GAGCGCAGAGTCAGAAGTAAACCCTGAATACTGCCAGGTGTGTTCTGTAACCAAAAATAAATAAAATGAAAACAAAGCAAACGAAGACAAATACTACAAGCAACTTTGGAACCTTGTTTTCGGATTTGGACAGCCAGATTGCAAAACACATTTTAGCATTTCTTTGGAAGTGCTAGAAATTGAACCCAGAACCTCACATTTGTAAGGCACGTTCGATCACTTTTGTAGTTTCATCCAACTCTACATAAAAGACTTTTTTTGGGGGTGGGGTGGGGAGGAGGTCATACCCAGCAGTGTTCAAGGCTTTGTGCTCAGAGATCACTCCTAGTGGTGTTTGAGGTGCCAGGGATTGAACCCAGGTTAGCTGCGTGCAAGGCAAATGCCTTACTCACCGGACTATTGCTCCAGCCCCGACATAAAAAGCATATGCATTTATTTATTTATTTTCATAAAAGGCAGTTTTAAACCGCTGTAAACATTTAATTACAGACCAGATATTTTATGCCAGAGAATCCACCTTGATTTTGTTAGATCTGAAAATTGCTTTGGGGCGATTCTCTCCTGAACCGTCCTCTGCCAGCTGAGTTCCCATGTTCCGGACCTTTCCCATTGCCTGCCACAGTTTTGAGGGAATCTTAGTATAAATGTATTTTTCTTATTAAAGAGTTTCTTCTTTTTTTTTTTTTTACTTTTCGGGTCACACCCCAGCGATGCTCAGGGGTTATTCCTGGCTCTGCACTCAGGATTCACTCCTGGCGGTGCTTGGTGGACCATATGGGATGCCAGGGATCGAACCCAGGTTGGCCGCGTGCAAGGCAAATGTCCTACCCGCTGTGCTATCGCTCCGGCCCACATAAATGTATTTTGAATAGGCCTGAAAATAAAAATAATAAAAAGTAAATGGACCCCTTTTTTCTGTCAGGGCTTCTTCGCAGCAAAATACAATCCAGAAGGTGAGGAATATTAATATCCGATATTACTCTCAACCATCAGGATGACCTCTAGACCAAAAGAAAAAATAATCAAAATCTGAGATAGGGGCTGGAGCAATAGCACAGAGGGTAGAGTGTTTTGCCTTGCACGCGGCAGACCCAGGTTCGATTCCCAGCATCCCATATGGTCCCCCAAGCACTGCCAGGAGAGATTTCTGAGTGCATGAACCGGGAGTAACTCCTGTGCATCGCTGGGTGTGACCCAAAAAAGCAAAAAAAAAAAAAAAAACTGAGATAATGGGGTCCAGAGAGAAAGAGAGTAGAGTGGGTTCTGGCCTTGTGTGCCACCACCTCCAGCAGCCCAGATGCCCCCCACCCCAAGCCCTGCCTCAGTAATACTCCCTGAGCATAGAACCAGGAATAGGCCCTGAACACAGCAGCTGTGACCCTAAGCTCCTCCCCTAAAACACACACACACACACACACACACACACACACACACACACACTGAGATAATGGCTATCATGATTTCTGAGCGCTTCAGTCCTGGGTGGGAATGGGGGGCATTTGGACAACCCCCTGTACTATCACTTCCAGAATAACCTTGGAGGGGGCTGGAGTGATAGCACAGCGGGTAGGGCGTTTGCCTTGCACGCGGCCGACCCAGTTTCGATTCCCAGCATCCCATATGGTCTCCTGAGCACCACCAGGAATGATTCCTGAGTGCAGAGCCAGGAGTGACCCCCAAGCATCACCAGGTGTGACCCCCCCCCAAAAAAAACCAGAATAACCTTGGAAAAGTCATTAGGGGCTGGAGGATGAAACCCAGGGCTCATAGATATGATACATGTGCTCTATCACTGAGCCGAACTTCCAGCCCCTGAAAGTACAGTTTCTTTTTCTTTGGGGGGGGGGGGCACGCTTGATCTTCTTCTTGCTCTGCGCTTGGGCATGATGCCGGGAACTGAACTGTGGCCTCCTGCATGCCTATGCTTAAGCGTTGAGTCTCTCTCCAGAGGGTAATTTGTTTTAGTCTTAGCATTTCTAGATAAACTTTACTCTGCTGAAGTATTCCAGCTAGGGCTGAAGGCACTCCAGAACTTGTAGTAACATAAATCTCAGGGGTCAGAGAGACAGAGTTCAGGGGTCAAGGTACTTGGCTTGCATGCAACTGATCGTGGTTCTGCCCCCTGAACATATGTGGTCCCCAGAACACCCCCAAGAGCAATCTCTGAGTACCGAGCCAGGAGGTTATTACGGTTCTCTCTGCGCTCAGGACCACCAAAGGCAGTGCTGGGATTCGAACCATTGTCAGGGCAGCAGCTGCATGCGAAACAATTTCCTTAATCTCTCTCCAAACTTTTTTTTTTTTTGCTTTTTGGGTCACACCCAGCGATGTACAGAGGTTCCTCCTGGCTCTGCACTCAGGAGTTACTCCTGGCGGTGCTCAGGGGACCATATGGGATGCTGGGAATCGAACCCGGGTCGGCCACGTGCAAGGCAAACGCCCTACCCCGCTGTGCTATCTCTCCAGCCCTCTCCAAACTTTTAAAGAAAATGAACATGTATGATTCACCTGTGTAGGCCGTGAACTCGCTTGTCTTAGAAACCATAGGAGCATGCTTTCAGATCTGGGTCCCAGTTCGACACTCCCTCTTCCCACGTGACTCTAGGCACTGTTAGCAAAATCTTTCCCACTCTGGGATAATAATAGTAATTGTTGTGACAGTTAATCTATAGCAGTCGGCTGAGGATTTCTTAAAAGGGCTTAGTTACATAATAACTGATGTTAACCAATTAATAGCAGGATACTATTTTTTTAATTACTCAGACAGACTCATTTATTCATCAAATATTTACTTAAAACATTTTTATTTATCTTTTGGGGCTTGGTGGCCATATCTGGCATTGCTCAAGGTTATTCCTGGCTGTGTACTCAGGAATTACTCCTAGCAGTGCTTGGGGGACCATGTGAGATTCCAGGGATCAAACCCAGCTTGGGCTTATACAAGGCAAATGCCCTACCCGCTGTACTGTAGTTCAGACCTCTTTTTAGTTTTTCTTTTTGGTTTTGGGGTCATACCTGCTGGTGTTCAGGGCTAACTCCTGGTTCTGTGCTCAGAGGTCACACCAGATAGACAGGGTACAAGGGTCCACATGCAGTGCTGGGGATCAAACCTGGGTCGGTTGTATGCAAAGCAAGTGCCCTGACCATGGGATCTCCAGCACTATTTATTGAACTTTCTTTTTTTTTTTGGTAGGAAAAACTTTATTTCTTTTGTAACATACTGAACTTTCTCGTACACCGACTGTTGTTAAGTTCAGGTGTACTGAAAGTGTGTACAGAGAGGACAAAACAGATAGAAATCTGGAAGGAGAAGAAATGATAAAGACGTCAAAAATACAGTGTCAGATGATGTTAAGTGCTATGAAGAAAATGCAGCAGCGGAGAAGAGAGTCGGGAAGATAGCAGGTAGATTACTGTGGGGGAGAGGTGGTGTTGCTATTTTAAACAGGATGGCTAAGGAAAGCCTCTCTGATAAGGTGACACTTGAACAGAGAACTGGAGGGACCGCGGGAAGGAAGTTAGTGCGTTTCTGAGTAGGGCACGGTGTGCAAAAGCCTCGCAGGCAGTCAGGATTGACCGAGGGGAGGATGGACAGAGGAGGACGGAGAACACGGGGTTTTTATAAACTGGTTAGCGTTTCGGTTAGTGGGATGAGAGTCGCCGAAGGGCTCCGATAATAGCAAGGCTGGGCTTGAGATGGTCCAAAAGGCAGCGCATTTATTTCCCTTGCATATTTATTTCCCAGCGTTTTTATTTCCCTGCCAACTCCGCTTAGGTTCCCGGCAGCGACACAGGAGTCGCTCCTGAGCACTGAGCGAGGAGGAGCCCCTGAATACCGTCGGGAGTGGCTCTGGAAACAATCATACCAAGATTGGAGAGGTGAAATAGCTTTCTATGATAAATCAACTGCTAATTGGCAGAAGCTGCCCACTCAGCTCCAGATGCTTTTGAAGGGGGTGGGGGCACGCCTGGCAGTGTTCAGGGCTTACTCCTGGCTCTGCACTTGGTCACTCTCAGGCGGCGTTCGGGATGCAGAGGACGCGGAGGATCGAACCCGACTCTGCTGCGTGCAAAAGCAAGTGCTCGACTATCTCTCCAGCTCTGGCTTCATGTTCTTGTTTTTTTTTTTTTTTGCTTTTTGGGTCACACCCAGCGATGCTCAGGGGTTATTCCTGGCTGGCTCTGCACTCAGGAATGACTCCTGGCGGTGCCTGGGGGACCATATGGGATACGGGGGATCAAACCCAGGTCAGCCGGGTGCAAGGCTGACCCCCTACCTGCTATGCTATTGCTCCGGCCCCTGGCCTCCTGTTCTTAACCCCCACCACGATGCTGATCTTTAGGCGTTTTTTAAAAATTTTTTATCTGGGCACTGGTCTCCTATGATTTCAAACAATGACTCTCGGACACTGACAAATTGTCCGTGGCCACACGCGTGGTTAAGTGGACTGAACACTTAAAGATGGACTTGTGCTGAGGCTGGAGCGATAGCCCAGCGGGGAGGGCGTTTGCCTTGCACGCCGCCGACCCGGGTTCGACTCCCAGCATCCCATCGGGCCCCTGGGCGCTGCTGGGCGTCGTGGCAGTAATTAATTCAGTCATTCCTGAGTGCAGTGCCAGGAGTAACCCTGCGCCGGGTGTGACCCCAAAAAGCAAAAAAAAGAAAAGAAAGGAAAAAAGAGATGTGCTTGCGGAGCCCAGGTCCTGGCACCGCTGCAGCGCGGGCACCGGCCGGGCACGGCTGCGCTTCCACCCCGCTCGGTACCGAGGAGAGAGAAAACGGGTCTGGACGCGCTGTGGCCCCGCGGGGCGGGGGCGGGGCCTGGCGGGCCGGGGCGGGGCTTGGCGGGCCGGGGCGGGGCCGGGCCCGGCAGGGGGCGGGGCCGGGCGCCGCGCCCGCGTCACGTGACCGGGCCATCATGGCGGCGGCCAGAGGCCTCCCCGGCTCCCGGAAGCAGCCGCGAGGGGCGGGCGCGCGGCGGGAACCCGGGCCGGAGCCGGAGCCGGAGCCGGAGGCGCAGCGGCGGGCAGGGCGGCCGGGCGGCCTGGAGCCCGACGGGTCCGGAGCGTCCCCGCAGACCGGGGCGGCAGGTGAGCGGGGGCGGGGGCCGGGGCCGGGGCCGGGGCGGGGGGGGGGGGCCGGGGCGGGCGTGCACGCGCGTGACCCGGAGGCCGCGCCCGGGACGGCTCGCGCGGGCCGGGGGCGCCCGGGCCGGAGGCGGCGGCGCCGGGGCCGGGGGGCTCGGCGGGAGCCGCGCCGCGCGCCCGATCGCCCGAGGGACCCCCGCCGGCGAGGGAGGGGCGGGGGCCGGCCGCTCCCCGCGGCCGCCCGACCGGTCCCCCCGGTCCGCGCCGCCCGGGCCCGCCTCGCGCCCGCCGTGGCCGTGACCCGCGCGCTCCGCTGCTCCCCAGGTGGCCCGGGGGCGCGCGATGCTGGCGACCGCCTGCCTGGCCCTGGCGCTGCTGCTGGCCTCCTGCCTGGGCCTGGAGCTGTCGCGATGCCGGGCCGCGGCGCCGGGCCGGGCCTGCGGCAACCCCGCCTTCCGCCGCTTCCAGCGGGACTTCTTCGGCGTCTACTTCCCGGCGCTGGCGGCTGACTGGCTGCAGGCCCCCTTCCTCTACCGGCTGTACCGGCACTACCGCTTCCTGGAGGGCCAGATCGCCGTCCTCTACGTGTGCGGCCTGGCCTCCGCCGTCCTCTTCGGGCTCGTGTCCTCCGCCCTGGTGGACCGGCTGGGGCGCAAGAAGGCCTGCGTCCTCTTCTCCCTCTCCTGCTCGCTCTGCTGCCTGGCCAAGCTCTCGCAGGACTACTTCGTGCTCCTGGTGGGCCGCGCCCTGGGCGGGCTGTCCACCGCCCTGCTCTTCTCGGCCTTCGAGGCCTGGTACGTCCACGAGCACGTGGAGCGGCACGACTTCCCCGCCGAGTGGATCCCGGCCACCTTCGCCCGCGCCGCCTTCTGGAACCACGTGCTGGCCATCGCGGCCGGGGTGGCCGCCGAGGCCGCGGCTTCCTGGCTGGGGCTGGGGCCCGTGGCGCCCTTCGTCCTCGCCATCCCGCTCCTGGCCCTGGTCGGGGCCCTGGCCCTCCACAGCTGGGGCGAGAACTATGACCGGCAGCGGGCCTTCTCCAGGACCTGTGCCGGCGGCCTGCGCTGCCTCCTGTCCGACCGCCGGGTCCTGCTGCTCGGCACCATCCAGGCCCTGTTTGAGAGCGTCATCTTCATCTTCATCTTCCTCTGGACGCCCGTGCTGGACCCGCACGGGGCCCCCCTGGGCATCGTCTTCTCCAGCTTCATGGCGGCCAGCCTGCTGGGCTCTTCCCTGTACCGCGTGGCCACCTCCAAGAGGTACCACCTGCAGCCCATGCACCTGCTGTCCCTGGCCGTCCTCATCGTGGTCTTCTCCCTCTTCATGTTGACCTTCTCCACCAGCCCGGGCCAGGAGAGCCCGGCGGAGTCCTTCATCGCCTTCCTGCTGATAGAACTGGCCTGCGGGCTCTACTTCCCCAGCATGAGCTTCCTGCGGAGGAAGGTGATCCCCGAGACCGAGCAGGCCGGTGTCCTCAACTGGTTCCGGGTGCCCCTGCACTTGCTCGCCTGCCTGGGTCTCCTGATCCTCCACGACGCCGACCGCAAGACGGGCACCCAGAACATGTTCAGGATCTGCTCCGCGGTCATGGTGATGGCGCTGCTGGCGGTGGTGGGGCTCTTCACGGTGGTCCGACACGATGCCGAACTGCGGGTGCCCTCGCCCACCGGGGAGCCCTACGCCCCCGAGCTGTAGCCCCGGGCTGGGACAGGGCCGCTGCAGTGGACTCTTGACCTCCGGGGGCTTGCGCAGACCTGGCTGTGAATGACTTTGTGATGGGGGCCCCCCTGCACTGCTTCGGGCCGGGGAGTGCGTGGGGCTGACAGCCTGGAAAGATGCCAGACACCGCCTCTCTGTTCCTCCCTTTCCACTCAAGAATAAACACTTCGGATCCTCTGATTTGGTCATTCTCCCCTGCCCTCCTCCACCCCAAGCAGTTTCTGATGGAGTGGGGCTCTGGGCTTTGGGGCTCGGGGGGTGTGTGCCAGCAGGGGGTGTGCATTTCTAGCCTCTCCGAAACTCCAGTTTAAACTGCGCTGCTGGGGCTGGAGCGATAGCACAGCGGGGAGGGCGTTTGCCTTGCACGCGGCCGACCCAGGTTCGATTCCCAGCATCCCATAGGGTCCCCCGAGCACTGCCAGGAGTGATTCCTGAGTGCAGAGCCAGGAAGAACCCCTGTGCATCGCCAGGTGTGACCCAAAAAAATAAACCGCACTGCTGGGGTCACCTCTCAGGGCCGGGTGGAAGGCTTCTAAGCTGCCCGGGCCTCTGCCCTAGGGACAGCCACTCTCCCAAATTGCCAGGCAGAACCCTTGCTGCACATCCTGGGCCAAACAGTCTCTGGTACACGTCTGGTAAATGCTGCAGACACTGAGTGGAGATTCCAGAGGCCTGGGCTACTTTGGGTTTATTTTCTTATGGCCCCCACCTGACAGTGGTGAGGAGGGGGGCTGCTCCAAGCTCAGTGCTGGGGGCTGGGGGGGCACTCCAGCTGGTATTGAGGGGGAAACAGGTGCTGGGGATCACCCCAGTCCATGCAAAACACATGCTCAGCCTTTTTGTTTTGAGTTGTTTTGATTTTGGGGTCACACCTGGTGATACACGGGGGTTACTCCTGGCTCTGCACTCAGGAATCACTCCTGCCGGTGCTCAGGGGACCATATGGGATGCTGGGAATCGAACCCGGGTCGGCCGCGTGCAAGGCCACGCTCAGCCTTTGGAGCTATCACTTTGGCCTGCTTTTAAGACCACCCTTTTTTTTTTCCCCCACTTTTTGGGTCACACCCAGCGATGCTCAGGGGTTCCTCCTGGCTCTGCTCTCAGGAGTCACTCCTTGCAGTGCTTGGGGGACCATATGAGATGCTGGGAATCGAACCCGGGTCGGCCGTGTGCAACAACCTTTAGAGCTATCTCTTTGGCCCTTTGGGCTGCTTTTAAGACCACCTTTTTTTTTGTTTTGTTTTGTTTTGTTTTTTGCTTTTTGGATCACACCAGCGATGCTCAGGGGTTACTCCTGGCTCTGCACTCAGGAGTCACTCCTGGCAGTGCTCGGGGGACCATATGGGATGCTGGGAATCGGACCCGGGTCAGCCGTGTGCAAGGCGAACGCCCTCCCCCGCTGTGCTATCACTCCAGCCCCGACCACACTTTTGTGGTTGTTATTGTTGTTTGTTTTCTAAACTGCACCCACTGGTGCTCAGGGATCACTCCTGGCAGGGCTTGGAGGACCTTATAGGGACCCGGGATTGAACCTGGGTCAGTCCCAGGCAAGGCATGTGTCTTACCAGCCGTACTGTCTCTCTGGCCTGACCACCCGTTGAGGCAAACTTGGCGCCTCCCTACAGAAGCAAGCCCGCACCGCGGGCTCCCAGCCTTGGGTCAGACCCAGCGGCACTCGGAGCGCACTCCTGGCTGTGCTCATGTGTGGTCGGCCACATGCACGGCAGGCAGCTCAGTCTCGGTCCTGTCTCTCTGGCCCTGAATGTGTCCCTCTGGTCTGGCACCACCTCTGTCCAGCAGGTCCTGCAGCCTTGCGTGAAAGCAAAGTGAGAAGCCGCCAGCGGGGAAGAGAGCAGTGAGTGAGCACCGGAGGGACGGGGATGTCGTGTCTGTACCTGACTCTTCCACACCCAGCTTGAATGAGGGTGAGGGAGCCACCGGGGCAGGAAACTGTACCAGTGGGAACACCAGTTCTGTGGGCCCCGCCCTGTCCCGCCTCAGATTATATCTGCCTGTTCCTCCTCCCACCAAAACCCGGGGGAGGCTCAGCCAGCCAAGAAGGGCGAGGTCCGAGGAAGAGTAGGCTCAAGGGTGTGCCCCGGAATGTGCTTGAGATGGGCAGAGGGGACCCTCCTGCCCTGGAAAGGGATCCACAACCTTCCCTGGGACCAGACTGCTTTCCAGGCTGGAGATGGAAGAAGAGATTCCAAGACCCGGGCATGCCAACCGGTGTCAGATGCAGTTTGGTGCTGGGGGGACTTAGCAGGGTCGATGGGCTTCTGCAGGGGGAGGCTGGGGGGAAGGAACGGGTGGTGGTCTGAGGTCCCTACTCGGCGCAGAAAAAAACCACCTTCCTGCGCCGAGGCTTCAAGGAATAAAATCGAGCTGACGTACAGGAAAGCATAGCTTTTCCTTCCCCTATCTTGAGGCCGAGATAGACTCTGCTGAAGTAACTCTACTTCCTCTTTCTGTCCGTTGCATTGGGCCGACGTATATTTTATAGTTATCTATAGATTTTCCATCTGTCCTTGCATTCTGTGATCTCCGTGAGACAGGAAGAAACGATCGCATTCACTTGTCTTGCCCGTATATACACGCAAATGGGAGCTCGGCCTGAGGAGACAGACTTGCTCACGTGTGAGCTGCCCTTTTGGTTTGGAGTGATGAAGCAGGGGCTCAGGCCCTTGCCTTGTGCGGGGCACCTCACTTCAGTGGCTGGCTGGCACCACATGGACCCCTGAGCACCACTGGATGTGGCCTAACACTCCTCCAAAAAGAGAAAACGCTTCCTACTTGGCAAGTCCTATTTGGACCATAATCTAGAGTCTCGTAAATGATTCGTTGCTTTGGATGACAGACTTCTGTTTATTGTTTTTCACTGTACCCAGTGGTGCTAGGGCTCACTCCTGGTGAGTGCCAGGAATTGAGTGAGGTAGGTTGCATGCTCTAACATAGTGGGTAGGGCGTTTTGCCTTGCACGCGGCTGACCCGGGTTCGATTCCTCTGCCCCTCTCGGAGAGCCCGGCGAGCTACCGAGAGTATCCCGCCCGCACGGCAGAGCCTGGCAAGCTCCCCGTGGCGTATTCGATGTGCCAAAACCAGTAACAACAAGTCTCACAATGGAGAAGTTACTGGTGCCCGCTCGAGCAAATCGATGATCAACGGGAGGACAGTGCGACATTGCTATAGGTTGCATGCAAGGCAAATGCCTTAACCCCTGTATGAGCTCTCTGGCTCTGGATTACAGTAGTTCTTTTTGTTTTATTTTTGTTATATTCCTGGGGGTGCTGAGGACTTACTCATGGGTCTGCTCTGAGGTATCACTCGTGGTGGGGTTGGTACCATAAGAGGTGCCGGGAGTTGAATCTGGGTTGACTGCATGCAAGGTAAGTGCCCTTTCTGCTGTATTATCACTTCAGCAGTCCCTGGATGGCAGTGATTCTTTCTTTGTTTTTGTGGCTCGGGGGATCGAACCCAGGGGTTTCACAAAGGCAAGTCCTCAGGTGCACCCCACCTGAGCTCCATCCTAGGGCACAATGGAAATTAACTGATGGAAGAACACGGAGCCCCCAGTTCTTAACTAACAGGAAAATAGAAGAGATGGCACCAGAGAGATAACACAGCTGTTACGACACCCGCCTTGCATGTGGCTGAGCTCTGCTAGGTGTGGTCCGAAAGCAAATACCCAAACCAAAGAAAAAAGAAGAGACAACCTAAAATTAGGTCCCTTTAGCTTTGGTCCTACTGAGATTTTTGGGGGGATGGGGAAGGGTCGTGGGAGGAATGGGTGTGTGACTGTACTGAGACTCCTGGCGCGGTGTTTTGGGATCACTCCTGGCTGGGGCCAGGGGACCATAGGCATTATTGAGTATGATCCTGGGTTCGGCCACAGGTAAGACAAGCACCATAACGGTTAGACTATTCCTCTAGCCCCTGAGCTTTCTTGCAAGGGAATAGAACAGGGAAAAAAGAACAGGTTCTTTCCTATTATATTCCTAGACTGTTAAAAATAGATTCGCATTTTAGAGATTTGTGCTTGACATTTGCACCTTAAACTTTTTTTTTTTTTTTTTTTTGCTTTTTGGGTCACACCTGGCGATGCTCAGGGGTTACTCCTGGCTTTGCACTCAGGAATCACTCCTGGCGGTGCTCAGGGGACCATACGGGATGCTGGGAATTGAACCTGGGTCGGCCGCCTGCAAGGCAAACGCCCTACCTGCTGTGCTATTGCTCCAGCCCCTAGATTCACATTTTACATTTGCACCTTAAACTATTCTTTTTTAACTTTCTGAGCCAAACCTGGTGGTGCCCGGGACTTCCCCCTGACTCTGCTCAGGGGTCACTCTTGGTGGTACTTGGGAGACCACCTGGGATAGAACCTGAGTGGAGTTGGCTGCCTGCAAGGTAAGCATCCTACCTGCTGTACTATCACTCCAGCCCAAGCCTTAAAAAAATGAGCACCTATATTGGATTACTAACTTCAGGGGAATCTTTTTTTTCAACCTAATTTACAGGTCATAGAGCAGTTGAATGACAAAGTCCAGACTAAACCTGGTCTTTCTTACCTTTTTTTTTGGGGGGGGGGAGGTGTGGATCAAATCTGGTGGTGCTCATGGTTTATTCCTGCTCTGTGCTCAGGGATCATTCCTGGTGGGTTTTGTGGCACCATATGGGGTGCCCGGAATTGAACCTGGTTTGGCTGCATGCAAGGCAAGCACCTTAACTCCTGTACTGTCTTTCTTGACTCCATCTGGTTCATTCTGGGGTGTCTGCCTAGTCACTGTCACTGTCACTCTCTTCCCATTGTTCATCGATTTCTCGAGCGGGCCCAGTAACGTCTCCATTGTGAGGCTTGTTGTTACTGTGTTTGGCATCTCAACTCTGCCCAATAGAGTCAGATAAATGATCATTTCCTCAGGTGCACCCCACCTGCAAATGCTGTTCGTGATTCTGTACTGAGTCTCCGTGGGAAACGGTCCCGGGCATCACTGCCTGGACCTGACTGCAAATCAGCCCATTTCCTCATCTGTCGCATGAGCCTGATAATATAATGTCTACCCCGTGCGGCTCTTGGGAGGATCAAATGCATTACTATATTTA